ACTCAAAATATAAAATACAATCCATATTGATATAAATAATTAAATAAAGGGGGATTAGAGAGAAATCTCCCACGAACAAAAATTTTAAACAATATATGTAGATACTCAGCCCTCAAGAGGTAGAACGTAACTCCCAAATCCTTTTTAAGTGTGAAGTGCACATAGTGACTTCCTTCTAAGGATGGATGAAAAGGGGAAAACTTTTACAGTTACAAAACTGATAAACAGTACCTTAGCAAAGTAATCAAAATAAGTCACATTGACAGTATAACCTCTGATACTACCAATGAGAGTAACACTTTAGTTTTCTTTCTTAAAACACATAAATTTCATTGTAAGAAAACAACAGACAAATCCAATTTCAGGGACAATCTACAAAATACCCAACACTTCTCAAAACTGTTAGGATTTTGAAGAGACTCTAAGAAACCATCAAAGCAAAGAAGAGCCCAAGGTGACTAAATGCAATGTGGTATCCTAGAACAGAAAAAAGACAGTAGGTAAACTCTAGAGAAATCTGAATGAAGTATGGACTTCAGTTATTGCACCAATATTGGTTCATTAATTCTAACAAATGTACCACACTAATGTTAAGATGTTAATAATAGGGGAAACTGAGTGTGAAGTATATGGAAATGGTCTGCATTATCTTTAAAATTTTTCTTTAAATCCAAAGAGTGTTATAAAACAGAAAGTTAATTTAAAAGAAATCAAGTTGATAAAAGTAAAAAAATTGCTAGCTTAATTAGACTTTCATGCTGCTAGTGTTTTCAAATCCTATTATATTTCTGCAAACCCCCTCCCAGGTTCTGATTCAGTAGGTATGATGTTAAAGGAGAAAAAAAAAAAAAATCATTTCTAACAGATTCTGAGATGTTGATAACATTGGTCTAGAATTGATATTTTTTTTTTTTTGGTAACCACAGATCTGACCTAGAAGACAAAAATAAAAATATTCAAATGATCCTTTGTATCTGTCTGCATGTTTACAATCTTATGTCTTTCTTTCCTATGCAAGTATCTCATTTAGAGTTGCAGATACTCTAAATAAATTCCTAGTAACAGCAAAAACAGTAAGTTTGATGCTATTTCATTACACATTTTATCTAACATGTAGATATAAATTCCCATCAACGAGATATATACAAAGTACATATCACTATCAAAATGGCAATGGAAACCTTTTTTTTTTTAACAGATAATTCTGAAACTTATTTGAAGGCTGTTTAGATAAGCTAGGGACCCTAAGAGTTGTCAAATAACAAATGATGACTTTTTAATCCACTTATTATTATAACCAAAACCATTCAGGCAAAAGGACTACATATTTTATTCTATAAATTTATTTTCTAAATATATAAAACTAAAAAATGTGTTCCTAGTGACCAAACACAGAGTTACTAGTTTTTCATGCCATGTGTCAATGTTTTACGGAATCTATTAATACAACTGACGAACATAAGCAGCAGAGAATAGTGAAGAGCGCAGAACACAAAGCCAGGATGCCCAAGTTTGAATTCTCACTTGTTTTGACTTAGGTCAAGTTATTCAACCTATGCCATAGATCAGTTTCCTCTCCTGTAATATATTAATAGAACTTACCTGACAAGGTTGTCATGAGGATCAAGTTTATATTCACTGAAGTCATTAGAACAGTGACTGGCCCATCACAAGTCCTGCATGTCTTGATATTTACAAAAGTCAACCAACATGCCAAGTACCATATTAGAAATGAGGATAAAACGACTGGCCCAAACATAAAGCCATATGCGGTCTATAAGAAGATACAGACACTGACAAATTAATCATAGAAATAAAATAAAAAGAAGTATGGAACTTCAAATTGAAATAAGCATTATGAAAGAAAGAATAGCATTATGAAAGAATATGCATCTTAAAAAGCATTAATTAATACACCCACCTAGTATTTTTGGAGGAGGGAAGTTTCCCTGTTCCAGGCTTAACCAGTACTTTCACTTAAATTATCAAAGTCTTAAAAAAGATGAATTTAATAATCTGATCATCTGGACAGTAGCTTAGTCAAAAATGAATAGCAAGAATAATTTATTTTGCATGTTCTTTAAGCAACATAAAAATGTTAAAGGCTAGAAGTTTTATTTCACTTTAACAGACATTAGAGATGGCCCAGTAAAGTGGAAAACTAAAAAGTCATTTATTAGCATTTAATAAAAACATGCTTTTCAGAAAAACTGTTCCTGAAGGAATTCTTCACAACTAAGAACTATATAAAAACTTAACATCAAGCAATAACTACACAGAAGAAAATGCACAAGCCCAGTATTTTAGGGATAATGCCACACGTACACAACCCCAGGCACCAATCCTTACTAACAAGGCAGGCCTTGCAACAATTCCAGATGCGTCTAAGTTGTAAGATACTTGGAAAGCAATCAGGTAATCAGGTAAAAAAACAAAACAAAAAAAAAACTTCCCAGCTACTCAACAAACCAATAATTCAAAGAAATAAAAAAACAAACAAACAAACAAATAACAAAACCTAAACATAAGATGGATTTAGCTTTCATTTTATAACTGTGGACAAGGAATTATGATATAACCAACAGAATCAAAACAAATACCAAATATGAGTGCTAGATCAAAGTAATTTGTAATGAAACAAAAAACCTATTAACGTTCTAACAGATAACTTGAGAGTATCTGGCTGTTTTAAAAAAAGTTGTACATACCCAAATGCCCTAAAACTGACATCAAACCTCATAAATGAGCTTTTAAAAATTTTATTGTGGGTGTGTGCATGACAAGCATTTTCAGGCTGGAAAAAGATTTTTTTTTAAAGCAAGCAGTGGCAGAGCAATAATCCAAAGTCACTTAATGTATTTGCAAGAACTCTTTTAAGGTTCTTTTTACCCTTAAATGGCAGAAGAATTGTCTAAAGAAAATCAAACTAAAGTAGTTACACGTAAAATTAAAATCTATGGTATAAAATATAAATTCTAATAAAATAGATCATTACAGTCCTTTGCCAGTATATGGTTAGAACAAGAAGTTACATCTTTGATCTATACCATTTGTCTATGGTAGTTGATTTCAATTTATATTTTTAATGGTTTATAAATTCCTGGCTTAAATTATTACCAAAAACTAGGATAGGTCTCAAAAACTACCCTTTAATAGTGTTCCTCTAAAAACAGATGGTCAAAATTAACATTCTACTTTAGTTAACAGTATTGTACCAAGACAAATTCTTGGTTTTGGAAATGTTCTATGATTATGTAAGATTTTCACATATGGGGAAGAATATAGCACATAGAGAACTCTACTTTTTTTGCAGCTCTTCTGTAAATCTAAACTTAGCTAAAAATAAGAGGTTGAAAGAAATAAAAGCTCAACTTCTTAGTTTACACTAGCAAATGTGCTAGGCAAGAAAATAATGCTTCTCAAGGTTAGTTTAGCTGTCAAATTAGGTACCATTTTTTTCTTTTTTTTTGATAGATTGATAAAAGTAAAACATATTTTACCTAATTATAAATGTGTCCTCTTATATATGTATGAGTTGAAGAGAGGTGTCATTTAGATTTTTATTTGAGCAACAAATTCAGAGGTTTATGGAAACAAGAAACAGAAGGGCCACTAATGTAACCAGACTAAATACATATGCTATATCCAAAGACAATAAAAAAGTCAGTGCTTTGTAACTAACTCTTAGGTGTATAATCCATTTGCTTTAAATAACTGTTCAATTAAACAATGTATTAAGGTATTGGAAAATAGCCTCAAAGAAGAAAACCAAACAAAAGAATATATTAATTACCTCAAATCAAAATAAGTAGCAACATCTCCCCTAAACAATAAATATTGCATGTGTCCAAACGAACCCAGGTTCCTAAATTATAAGATAACTTTCAAAATTTTAAATTCAATTCACTATAAACTTATATACTCTATCTGGGTCTGATTTTTACTGCCAAAAATTTCTTGCCATAGTATTTTAGTGTCATAAAAGCCTAGTTGCCAGATTTTTTACATATTTATTTGTAACACAGCTAAACCATCAGGTAATTACATAACTACATCTAACAGTTATTTGCTAAAGGTAGTAGGGTGAGATATACTAACTTGTTAAAATTGTACTTCTGCCAATTTTCCTTTATAACAGTTCTATTCATCCCAAAAGGGAAAAAACACTCAAGGGATTTAGAAAATAATCATTTTAATCTATGTAAGCATAATTCATGCCCTAAAAATTATGCCAGAGTTTTGGCCTTCATAACATTTTTCATTTTCTTCATGAGCTCTGCACTACCTCAAAAGCAACCTATCCTTTGATGGGTTCAAATTCTGTGTAACCTATTTAATAAAGTACAATACATAATCAACACTGTATCACCTAGAATTGTCAAACTGTTCATTAAAGCCTAAAAAATAACTATAAAATAATTACCCTATTTTATTTAACATTTACTAGTCGTCATAAAGCAAAGCTTAAATATTTAATTCTCTGAAACTCTAATGTATTTCCATAAGCCTTTTAATCTATAATTTTATAGATACAGTTTAACATCAGGAAAGTCAGATATATATTTAGTTTCTCTTTATATGTAATTAAAAATTTAAAGAGGGTGTAGGCTATGATTCAGATACAATTTAGCCATAACACCATATCAAGACTTTATAAATAATGAAGAAATAGTTAACATTATTGCTTAGTCTTATAAAATGATGAATTATAACCAAATTCATACCTCTGTACTCTTATTTATAATGTTTCCTATAGTCTTAAACAATACTGATTGGCAAGTAATATAGGTACTGATAAAATTGTTTTCCAATTAGTTGCAAACAAATTCTAATTTGTTAATCAATGCATATATTCCTCTTTAACTAATTACTACACTACCTCAGAATTCATCCTTCTACAGAAAGTAACAGTTCAAATGAAAAAAACATTGTAGAGTTTTACCTTTTAAGGAAAGATTTTCAAGTATTATAGGAACACGAACTCATGAAAAACTAATTAAAAATGTGACATTCCATCTTGCTTTACTGATTATGGAATAATAGAAAGAGATGTGAACAAGTGTTACTTTATACTTCTTTGCTTAAAATAATATTATACCAAGAACTACTCTATTTTCTAGCTTCTTCAAGTATGGGACACAACTACAGTTCTATTAGTGAGGAGTAATGAATAATCGATCTTAGGTAACTAAAAAAAATGGGGAGGCACAAAAAGATAAACTGACTTTGGCTTTTAAGAACCTACACTGTTGACCCTGAAATGCCAGATTCAACAATAACAACAAAACAAAAGATTACAGCAGCAAGCCACCACTTCACAACATATTAAGAATTCTGAAATAGGCAATAACTTTTTATTTCATCTCATTTCATTCTGTTTTATCTTCTTTTTGTTTGTCCTGGTTTTTGCTTGCAGGCAGTTCAAGGCTTGCCCACTGCATAGGCTCAGCTTTTCTCATGGTGATCTCAATCTTTGTTGCAGTCATAGTTACATAACTTCTCTTTACATCAATCACCTGCATCATATCAAAGAGAACTGAAGTAAACCTGGATGGTTTAATTAGTCTTAGAGGAAAATACTAGGCTGACTTATGTTAATAATAAAAATCCAAGACTTGAATGCCATTTCTATACCTAGATTTCAACTTTTTGGTTAGAATAACCAGAAGTTATATACCTACCTTGCATCAGTTACTAAAGTACTACCTTTTATTATACAAATGGTATTTAAAATTATAAGAAAAAATTCTGCTGGATTCATAATACTTACACCCCATAATTTCACATTTTGATGAAACTCCTTCTCTCCTTCGAATACAATGTGCACATTTAACTGAAAAAGATATACAGAAAGCTGAGTAACTGATCAAATGCAAACTGAAGGCTTATGATATAAAACACTGATTATAAAGCTCTGGCCACTTTTGCTTAGTGGTTGGAGCATCTGCCCCCAGACCAAAGAGTCGTGGGTTCGATTCTGGTCAAGGGCATGTACCTCAGTTACCGTCATCCCACATCTTGCAGGAGATAACCGGTTGATGTGTCTCTCTCACATTGAAGTTTCTCTCTCTCTCCCTCTCTCCCTCCCTCCCACTCTATCTGAAGGTTAAATGGAAAAATATCCTCAGGTGAGGATTAAAAAAACAAAAACAGTGATTATAAAAATAAGAATATATATTGACTTCCGGTCAAGATGGTGACGTAGGTAAACGCGGTATTGCATCCTACCACCACCACATCAAAGTTACAACTAAACTACAGAACAACCATCATTCAAAACCACGTGAAATCAAGCTGAATGGAAGTCCTACAACTACGGAATTAAAGCAGCAGCCACATCCAGACTGGTAGGAGGGGCAGAGGCGGATGGGCTGGTCCCAAAAGCACGTGTGGCGGATAAAAATCAGGACGACACCTCGGCTGGGAAGGTCCTCCCTGAGGACTGAGGGGACCCCGTCCCACACAAGGTGCCCCGCTCAGGGTTCCAGTGCCAGGAAGAGAGTCCCCATAACTTCTGGCTGGAGAAACCAGCAGGAACTGAGGCTCAGGGAGGCCGAGGCGGCTGGAGCCCCAGGCAGCTCCTTAAAGGGCCCGCGCACGAATTTATCAGACTCATTTCCTTTAAGCTTGGAGGGGAGGCTGCTCGAGGGGCACCAGAGACATACAGGGAAGAACTGAGCGAGGGCTGGAGAGGGGGCTTTCTCCGGGACAAACGTGCTGTCAGAGGCCTTTGTTCCTCTGGTGAGCCCTTCCCTGGGGCGGCAGACAGCGGCCATATCTGGGACCCCAGCAACCTGGCTCACACAGGTAGCAACTGCCCTAGTGATTCCTGAGGCCCCGACCCACCCAACTTTCAGGCCCACCCAAGCTGTTGCCAGTTGCTTAACCATAGGATTGGCCTGTCTTGGATCCTGCTTCAGGTTTTCCTAAATTCTTTCAAACAAGCAGCATCTGGTCTCAGATAGCCCCATACCGCTCGTTAAGTAATACATAGAAACAAACACAGGGAGGCAGCCAAAATGAGGAGACAAAGAAACAGGTCCCAAATAAAAGAATAGAACAAAACTCCAAGAAAAGAACTAAACGAAATGGAGATAAGCAACCTAACAGATGCTGAGTTCAAAATACTGCTTATAAGGATGCTCAATGAACTTAGTGAGAACCTCAGTGAACTTAGTGAGGGCCTCAAGAGCATAAAAAAGGACCAGTCAGAAAAGAGGGATGGACAGTCCGAAATGAAGGAGACACTAACTGAAATAAAGAATAATTTACACAGATTCAATAGTAGAGTAGGTAAAGCCAAGAAGCAAACCATCAATTTGGAATCTAAGGAAGCAAAAAACACCCAATCAGAACAGTAAAAAGAAAAAAGAATCCAAAAAAATGAGGAGAGTGTAAGGAGCCTCTGGGACAACTTCAAGCGTGCCAACATTCGCATCTTGGGGGTGCCAGAAGGAGAAGAGAGAGAACAAGAAATTGAAAACCTGTTTGAAACAGTAATGGAAGAAAACTTTCCTAACTTGGTGAAGGAAATAGACATATAAGTCCAGGAAGCACAGAGAGTCCCAAACAAGATGAACCCCAAAAGGCCCATACCAAGACACATCATCATCAAAATGCAAAAGGTTCAAGACAAAGAGAGAATCTTAAAAGCAGCAAGAGAAAAGCAGTTAGTTACCTACAAGGAAGTTCCCATAAGGCTGTCAGCTGATTTCTCAAAGAAACTTTGCAGACCAGAAGGGAGTGGCAAGAAATATTCAGAGTGATGAAAAGCAAGAACCTACAACCAAGATGACTCTATCCTGCAAAACTGTCATTTAGAATCGATGGCCATAGAAAGAGTTTCCAAGACAAGAAAAAGTTAAAGGCATTCATCACCACTAAATCGTTATTATATGAAATGAAGAAGAGTCTTTTTGAAGAAAAAGTTAAAATATATGAACAAACAAAATGGCAATGAATACATATCTACCGGCAATGGATTTACAAACAAAATGAACAGGAAGAACAGAAACATTCTCATAGATACATAGAACATTTTGTTGGTTGCCAGAGGGGAGGGAGGTTGGGGGAATGGGTGAAAAAGGTGAAGGAATTAAGAAGTACAAATTCATGGCAAACCTCAAAGAGAAAGGGGTTGGGGGGTGGGAAGAAATAAACCAAAGAACTTACATGCATAACCAATGGACACAGACAATAGTGTGGGAAAAGGCAGGAGGGGAGTGGTAGTGGTGAGGAGGCGGTCAATGGGGGAAAAATGAAGAACATCTGTAATACATTCAACAATAAAGATTTAAAAAAATAAATAAATAAAGTAAAATAACCAAAAAAAAGAGAATATATTGATAAAAGTCATTTAAGCTATTTTACCAAACTGCCAATATTGCATTTTTAATTTGAGAAAACATTAACAGAAAATAAAAATTAACTTGAAGTTTCACAATGAGAGAACTAACTACCATATTATTTGATATTCTAAACTACAACAGTATCTCCAGAATGCTTCACAGATAACTCTATTATGTAGACATTTTCATTTAAAATAGTTTCTTTTAAAGTAATTTCAAATGAGGAAGGTTAAAAGATCTTACCTTATGATCAGCTCAAATAAGAACAATATTACATCAACATAAAAAATAAATGTTTAAAGACAATTTATACTCAGAGATATTTCACGTACTTACCAATGTGCTATTCGCTACTACTTGACTAAGTTCTGGAAGTGAATTTCTAGCATATACTGAAATGGTGACTTGACCCCCAGTTTGATGCCAGTCATGTCTACATGGAACAACTTTCTTCCCCTGTAACATAAAACAAACTTTATGAATTTACAAAGTGCCCATAACCTCTTAAAAAGAGGAATTTGACCCAACTAAATGACAAAAAAATAATCAGATACACTGAATCCTTAATGTTTATAAGGGCACACTTATAAGGTCCTTTTAAAAAATTTGAACAATAATATATATCAAGATACAATGAACCTTTATAGTTTTATGATTTGAGAGGATGCTATTCCTTCTATTTGATTTTTTCTTAGTTTTTTTATGGCTATAAGATTAACATATATTAAAAAAGATAATTTATGAACTCCTGCAGAACTTTAACAATTTTAAAATTATGAAATCCACTAAATACAGTCATAAAAACGTTCTTTGAAGACTGAAGTTAAAGACATTCGCTTAGTGGTATAACCAGACAACATCTTAATCTCATACATGGAAACCTTTGATTTATTTTCTACAAATTGGAATTTGGAAAAAATAATTGACCGCTTACAAGTTTTTGTTATTGCTATTGAATAATTGTGTTCTGCTTATAACATGCAGAAAAAAATGAGAACTTGTGGAAGTAATCTTTTAATTATTATACAGAAATAATTATCTGCCAGTGGTATATTGGTGTATTAGCAACTCTTTCAAAAAGAAACAAATTGTGATTTGTTTTATAAATGAGGGTAAATTAGCCACATAATGTAGGAAACTGTGAGGCACTATTGCTATAAAAATCAGTATCTACATTTTGTTACAATTATAGTAACTGAATTTAAATTACTTTTTTTATCACTTACATTTTTCCTCCTTTAGGCCACTGGCTTACACACTTAATACTTGATAAATGCATGAATTAAAAATAACAGAAACACCCCTGGCTGGTGTGGTTCAGAGGTTAGAGCACTGGCCCATACACTGAAGGGTCACCAGTTCTTTTCCTGGTCAAGGGCGTATACCTGGGTTGCTGGTTCGATCCTTGGGCCCTGTTGGGCATGCGTGAGAGGCAATCAATCAATGTCTCTCTCTCACATTGATGTCTCTCTCTCCCCTTCCCTCCCTTCTTTCTACTCTCTCTTAAAAAAAATCAATGATAAGAATATCCTTGGATGAGGATTAACAAAATAAATAAATAAACTTAAAAAAATAACAAAAACGGCCCAGCCAGTATGGCTCGGTGGTTAAGTGTCAGCCCATGCACCAAGAGGTCGCCGGTTCGATTCCTGATCAGGGCACATGCCCAGGTTGTGGGCCCAATCCCCAGTGGGGGGCATGTAGGAGGTGGCCAATCGATGTTATCTCATTGATGTTTCTCCCTCTCTCTCCTTCTTACCTTTCTCTCTAAAAATCAATAAAGAAAATATTTAAAAAATAACAAAAACATTTCATTAAGGGTTATTATTCTGAAAACTTCTGCATATAATAAAAAACAACAGTTTGTTTTTTCAAACTAAATCTTTCAAACTTTTGGACCTTGGAGAAAATACAGGGAGATTTCACTTTTAGATAATAAAACATTCCTAGAAGTTTTGTGGTAAATTATTGTAATTTGAGTAACATACAGGGTGAGTCAAAAGTAGTTTATAGTTGTTTGTATAAAAAATAATACAATGAATAAATAATAATACAATAAACTGTACTTCACGTACTCACAACTGTAAACCTACTTTTGTCCTACTCTGTATTTATAATATCCAACCATGTGCAATTAAAAAGCAGAAAATATACAATACTCAAATGCAAAAGAAATGAATCCCTACAGCAACTTGAAAATTTAGAATTACTTTTTAAGTTAAAAGACACATATACTGAAAAGGTTCATTTACCTTGGGTTTATTAGTGCCAATGCAGCAAATAAATCTAATTTAATACACTACAAAATGCATTAATAAAAGCTATGAAGCTCTCATTTAGCAATAAATTGCTTGCCTTTTTACAACTTAATTGGATTTTGGGAAATTATCTAAGTCTTTTAAAAAAGATTGTCCAGGGAAGTAGGAACTGATGCTCTCTTTTTTTATGTTGATAAATTTCCCTGTTGCAAGCAGAGACATTCAAAACAATTCCAAAAAGTCTGAAATCCTCATCTTTGACCACCAGATGAAGTGTCTGTGCATCTGTAAATGGCAGAATGAACTTCTAAGAAGGGAAAAGAGAATCCCTCTAGAGGTCTAAATGATCAATAACATCAAATGAGCAGAAAAGTGATTTTTGTTAAACAAAAAGTGGGAACAGACTATGGAATTACACAAAAATATGCTCTAATTTATCCTGGCTTACATATTTCATAAATTCTATATAATGACATCAATATGCACAATGACTATTTTGACCAAAGGTCATGCATGCTCAGGGAACTTGACTCAGATTAATTTTAGTTTTCAGACCCATCAAAAACTCTCTACTGTGTGAGGGAGACAACCTTTTTTATTTTTTAATCTAAAGACAGGATAATCCCTAATTTTTAGAAATGACTCAGATGAATACACCCTAATGCGTTATCCTGGAAAGGTTACTTACAGCATCCTTTGCCGTCCACATGTGTTTCCCTGTTGTACAGCCTTCTTGGGCTAAGAATGTATTAAAATCAGAAGTTTTTCTTCTACAACAGCTCCAGTATTTCATCCTTTAAATTATCATAGAAAAAATTCAGAAAGTATCATAGTAATAAATATGATTTTAAAAAATCAGTAAGTGTGCAAGTGCAACTTTAATATCTTAAAAGTGTTTAAGTTACCAGTTAGACTTATTAAAAAACTAATAATTTTAAAATCAGAATGCCATTTATTTTAGCAATTTTGGAGTTCCTATATAAAGGTGCTTAAAATCACCACAAAATTACAAATCAGCTTGTCAGTGATAGCTCACATTCCAATGTCCTCATGAAAGCTATCAAAAAGTGATATGACCAAAGCGTTTATATCCTCATATTTTAATAACCCAGGAAAGTGAGACCATGCAAAGAAACTACAAAATAATGTGAAGATCAATCCCAAAGTAGGTAAAACCCATGATTACATACGTGAGAAAAATTTAACACTAGAACACAAAAATTACAGTAAAACTTTGGGTTTGATTCCTGAAGAGTAGTGAAACAGAATGGAAGATTTTAACACACTGTTTCTTTTCTTTTCTTTTTTTGTGGTACGTGCTCCTAGCGGGAACTGACCCGGGACTCTCTGGTCCACAGGTCAATGCTCAACCGCTGAGCCAAACTGGCCAGGGCCACACTGTGTTTCTATAAGCTACAGGGCAATAGAGATGAGAGGCTCTGAACTGAGGGCTATAGAAAAACATGGGTTTTCTTAGATGCCACAACACTGGTGTCTTTAGTGCCCAAGGTCAAAAATTGTAAATGTCCTCTAATCCGCAGAATGGTCCTTCAAAGAAAAAAACCTTATTCAGCTCAAATAGAGTATCACATTAAAATACAACAAAATAAGGAGAAACATGAGGTTTGAATCATATGGCCACTTAACTGTAATACTATTCAGTTTCTCATGTGTAAAAAAAAAGACAAACCCACATTTGTAGGTTATTGTAAAGAACACACAACAATATGCCCTGGCCGGTTTGGCTCAGCGGTTAGAGCATCAGCCTGTGGTCCAGAGAGACCCGGGTTCGGTTCCCACTAAGGGCACGTACCTCAGTTGCGGTTTGTCCCCGGCCCTGGCTGGGTCATGCGGGAGGCACTCGATGTGTCCCTTTCACATGTTTCTCTCTCTCTCCCTCCCACTCTATCTGAACAAAAAATGAAAAAAAAAAAAAAAAAAAAAAGGCCTCTGGTGAGGATAAAAAAACAAGATTACATAACAATATAAATAAAATATCTGATTATGCTATATGGCAAATAATGTTTAAAGGCATATTAACTGTTCTAACCTCTACCATAAAGTTTTTTTTTTTTAATCCTCACCCACGGACATTTTTCCATTTTTTGTTCAGATAGAGTGGGAGGGAGAGAGAGGAAGAGATAGAGAGAGAAACATCGATGTGAAGGGAGACATGGAGCGGCTGCCACCCGCACGACCAACCAGGGCCGGGGACAAACTGCAACCGAGGTACGTGCCCTTAGCGGGAACCGAACCCGGGTCTCTCAGTACCGCAGGCCGACGCTCCAACCGCTGCGCCAAACCGGCCAGGGCTACCATAAAGTTTCAATTAGCAAATTACCCTTCATGGAAAATGGGTACTCCAGCATGATATACACAGACTTCTTCTAGACTCTGTAGACCCTGATATGTCTAAAAGAAAAAAGAAGAAAAAAATATTGGCTTCTTATCTCAATAAGAGATTTCACACATATTTGTAGTTATTAGTTACCTCTATGAACTATGAAAATGCTCAATAAAAAATAACCTAGAATAGTCATACATTCACCCAGGGCATTCTAATAAGAAATAAAAAGAGATTCCTTTTTTAATATGCTTAAGTTTCAGTTCCCTATGAAAAAAGCAAGTAGAAAAGTAGGCAATAGGATGTATTAAGATGCTTTCAGACTTTTGGGTATGAGGTCACATCCAAGAATATTCAGGTATTTAAATTTACAGAACAATATTAAAACCAAGAGATTAGTAATCTCAACAGAAAAAATAGTTATAGTATGATTTATGTGCATAGTAAACTCTGTGTGGGAATTATGAATTAATATGAAAAATCTAATGAGCAATTCTGGAAGTTCTAGAGTGATGATTTCTTATCCCTATGAAGGGTAAAATGAGCTGCAGACCTATATATATATCCAGGATTTGTCTGGAAGATCCGGGCCCCATTGCTGCTGTAGGTGAAGGCTCTACAGATGAATTCACAAAAAGTTATATTAATAAAACATAGATGCAGCCAGTAGCATATTTTGTACTTTGGTATTTATTGTAACCACCTACAGGTACAGAAATTAAAATTCTGTATATTTACTTTTCTGTAAATCCAAAGTACTGGGTGTGTGTATCTCTCAAAAATATACTATAGTACATGAAACTCAGTATGTTAGATTCTGAACTTACCACTGTTGCCCCCCAAACCTTCTACTTGTCTTGCCACCTAATTTGATGGCACCATATCTACTCAATCTCCCAAAGCAAAATTCTGCAGGTCCTCTTTAATTTATCCTCTCCTTTTACTTATATGTAGTCTATCACAAAACTGTCAATTTGACTTAAAAATATCTATCAGTTTAATTTGCTAACCTTCCTCATGATCACCAGCCGATTTTAGGCAATGAGACTATACTAACAGATTCTGATTCATGGTCTGAAAGTAAGCAGATTTCTTAAACAGGACACTGAAAACATTGGTTATAAAGGAAAAGATGGATGAATAGGATTTTACTAAAATTAAAGAGCCTCTGTTTATCAAAAGCCATTAAGATAGTAAAATGTACAAACTTTTTTACAAAAGTAAAAACTTTTAGCTAAAATAATATAAAGAATTCCAAAATTAATAAGAAAAAGCAAACTTAATAGAAAAATAGGTAAAAGATTTTGGACATTTCACAAAAGAGGATATCCAAATGGCCAATAAAAATACAGAATGGTACTCAATCTCATCATCTCGAAAGCTAAATTAAAAACATAATGGGAACACTATACACCTACCAGAATGGCTAATATATAAAAGATTGATATTACAAAGTGTTACCAAGGTGTAGAACGAATGAGACCAGTCTAACAAACTGCTGATAAATACAACCACTTTGGAAAACTATCTGGAAGTATTTGTTAAAACTGAACACATACACACTTATAATCCAGCAATTCCACTTCTAGTCATATCCCTAACAGAAATGTGTACATCTGCCTGGACGGTGTGGCTCAGCGGATTGAGCATCGTTCCAAGGACTGAGAGAAACGTGTACATCTGTCCCAAAAGTCATGCACAAAAATGCTAATAGCATTAATGCAAAAAATTTTAAAGGGCAATTAAAGAATTGACTGGCACATTAAACAACAGCCTATTTTAAAGCAATGAAAATGAACTAACTACAGCTACATGCAACAAAGATAATTGCAACATTTTACTAGGCAAAGAAGACAGACATAGGAGTACCTGTTCTATAATTCTATTTACATTAAGTTAAAAAATTGGCAAAAATAATCTGTGTTGATAGAAAAATGTGGTTACCTTTGGGAGAGGGAATGAGAGGAGGCATAAGAAGGGCTCTGCTTTGTGAAATTCCCAAGCTATAAACTTGTATTTGCTTATTTTTAAATGTTATATTTCAGTGAAAAAGATTAAAAAATTTATTTAATGGCCTCTATAACCTAAAGTCAGGTCTAACTTTTGAGCATTATAAAAACTTTCCAGGATCTGGCCCCTACTTATCTCTGTTAATCTCAACTTCATACCAACAAATTCTGTACCATTATTAATTATTTTTTCCTGCATACTACTTCTATCATCTCTGCTTGGGATATTCTTTTCCTTTTGTCCATTTACAGAACTATCATTTGTTTCTCAAAATTCATCTGGGATACCTTCTGTGCATCTTTCTCCACTACCCTACTATTTGAACTATCTCCCTTACCACAAAAATTAATCATTCTCTTTTATCTACTACCCTACCTTTGTGAATACATTTAAATCTGAATCCGTAAACAAGCAAGGCAATCTCAAACTTAACATGAGTTAAACTATAAACCTGCTTTCCCCAATCCCGTCCTCTTTCTTGGTCAATGTGTCACCAATCACCTAGATGCTGGAGTCACAAGCCCCCTTCATTCACTTCCAGTTCATTAGCAAGTCCTGCTATTTCAAAATATCATTCATTCTACATGTATTTGCCATGTGCCAGGCACCACTCTAAGCATTAAAAATACAGCCAAGAACAAAACAAATAAAATCATTTCCTTGTAAACCTTATATAAGAGAAGGAAGGAAAGGGAAAGTGAGATGGGACAGATCATTAGCAAAATAAATATGTAAAATAAGTAGCATAAGTGCTATGAAGAAAAAAGAGAGAGTGGCAATGTTGGAGGATATGTAATTTACATAAAGTAGGAAAAAGACTCACTGAGATGTTTGATTACATCCCACCCACATGTAACTACTTTTCAAAAACATATTCTGCAATCTCACAGCTTGGTCTTCCACAATAGCACCCTGACTTGTTTTCCTTCTTCAAATTCCACTCCTGTCCCATTATATGTGCCACTTAGCAGCCAAAGACAAATTTAAAAACTTCTCCTTAAAACAGTTAATAGCCTGCCCCTCACCCATTATACTTAGAATAAAGCCCAAACACTTCACTGTGGCTTATAAGCACCTTCATAACCTTCCTACCTCTCTTTTCCACTTACTTACGCACCCTTGTCCAAGCCACACTGACCTTTCTCATAATTCTTTGAATAGACAAGCTCTAAAGCCTCTATGCTTACTACTTCCAAGTCTACTCTAAGGTTTACTTAACTCATCCACTACATTATTCAGATCTTTTATGTAGTGTCACCATTTCACAAAAGATTTCCCTGACATTCCGATTTAAATAACTTCACTCTATTTCCTTCTCTTCATAACTATCTGAATTCATTTTAATTACCTATTTGCTATTTTTACCCTAGAGTATCAGCTTCTCAAGTACAGAGATTTCTACTTTATTTAATACTATGTTCCCTAGCACCTAAAACAATGTCTGTCACACAGTAAGTTCTCAATGAATGCTGACTAAATCAGACATAGTCTCAGAGTCTATCAGTAAGATGCTCCTCAGAGACAGTCTCTATCCATGTTCACTATGCCCTAGCTCACAGCATAGCGCCTACCTTGTAATGGCACACACGTTTGTTAAATTGATTCACTAAATTGCACCCTCTTTTTTCAAAATTAAAATTTTACTTCCATGAGTCAACACAAATTTTACATCATATACCTTTGAACACCCTCCATTTTTACATGAAGTCCCAATCTTAATTTCATCACTGTCTTCTTCTGAAACAAACAAACAAAAAATCAAATGAGAAACAATAGAACACTTTACTGTAGTGCCATTTTTAAAAAGTAAACTTTTCCATAAAACAAGTTTTAAAAAAATATACTAAATACAAAAAACACTAACATTAAAATTAAGTAAGTTTAAATTAAATAATTTCAAATTAAAATAATTTAAAGTAACTTTTCTTTGTGACCTCTGAGGTAACGTATTTAAAAAGCTAATAAGCCAACTACTGCAATTGGGTTTTACCAATATCCCTAAAATGATATATGACAAATTTCTATAATACAGTATTATATCCAATATCTCAAACTTGTGAAAGCGGTATCATGAAAGGGTACTTTCCTCCCATGGTATAAAGTATAGATCAGGAAATATAGAATATATTTTATCTTATGTGCAATTATCAAAGAAATTTAATGCACTGTTAAAAAAAGGTAATGAAGAAAACATAATTTAATTAACAGACTCTCATTTTGAATAAACTGCACACCCATTCTGTGGTATGACTAGCATTTAAAATAACAGAAATAAGTTTTTTACTGTAATGTGCTACTTTTTCATATTTATAGTCAGTATATTATACAGTTCCCATCTCTTTTAGGTAACTGGTTAATTGTACAGAAAAAAATTACAACATACAAAATAAAATCTTACCTTTGTTCTTTTCATTCCCTGATGATAGTTTAAGTTTATCAAGTGCTTGTTTTAGAGAGGCAGATACTTTTAATTCCAAATTTGTCATTGGTTCATCTGGGCTGGAAAATTTTGAAACTTCATTACCATCACTGATGTACCAAAATATTTCTTTGTGCTAAAAATAAATATACTTAAGAGCCTATTTATGGAAAGAAGCCAAAAATTTGACTTGTGAATCAAGTTTTTTTTTCATTATAATTTTTTTAAATTGCTTTTTGAAAAGAGGAAGGGAGAGAAAGAAACATCGGTGTGAGAGAGAAACATCAATCAGCTGGCTTCTGTATGCTCCCCAACTGGAAATTGAACCCCCCACCTTTTGATGTACAGAACAATGCTCTAACCCAACTGAACCACACTGGCCAGGATAAGATTTTGCCATTAAAAAGTATTTTACTGCTATAATGTTAACATGTCTAAGTTTTAACAGAAAAAGTTCTGATCTTAAAATATTAAGTCTGAAATAATCATGCTATTGCCAATAGATTTCATTATTGATTAGTAAGCTAATAGTAAGGAAATAAAGACTAGCAATCCAAGATTGTCAGGATGGGTATCTCCATGGAAGAGGCCATGATGTACTTTCACACTCCACGCCTCAACAAAATGCTGAGCATATAATAGGCAAGCAATAAACACGTAGTAAGTGAGAATCCATATTCCTACTGGTGGAGATAATTCACTTTGTGTGGCCACTGGTCTATACATCTATAAATTTAGATACAATTGTATTACAAGACAATTTTAGTAGAGTTAAAAAATCAATAAAAGCATCCCCTAACATTTCATAATGGTTATTAAATGTTGTATGTATGATCTGTTAAAGGTCATTCAATAAATATTAAGAATATTAATAAATGCAGCAATAAAAATAGAAATCCTAGGTTATTCATTCTATATCCTAAATGAAATAAAACTTCTGATGTAGGAGGCCATTAACAAAGTATATAAAAACCTGTATATTCATAAGCTCTACATTATCACCAAATAAATTAGGATAAAATATTTAATTTCTCTCACTTGCTCTTAAAAAAATTAGTAGCCCCATTATTTAAAGAAAATAGTTAACTCATATCACCAGTTATAGTATTACAACTACACTGTAATACTTGTCTTTTTCTAAAATTCTTTTTTAACTGGCAAGTCAGCCAGCAAGGCATTTGATAAAGTCTCTGATGATTATGAATAAGGTGAAGATGGAATAAAATCATTCTAAGTAGTTTGTTTAAATAAACATAAAAAAAGTCTCTTTGGGTTCTTGTCTTGGTCTGGTATTATTCAATATGCTATACATTTATTGAAATATTTGAGGCCAAAACCCTATCTAGTTTTTGGGTTCCTGTATTTTGGTTCTAAAATAATTCAACACTCAAGTGCAACATGAAGACTCAGTATACTAGTGGTACCCAATATAAACGTATAGGAATGTAAAATTAAAATAGAGTCTAGATGATCAGAAGGTAAGTATAAAAAAATCTGCATAATTCTACTGCAAAGTGAGCAAAAGATATTTTAAAAGTACTTTAACAGATACATTAAAAACCTATCAGTAATAATGAGATTAATAGTTTCAGACATCTAAAAGTAAAAGATGAGTAACTAGGTATATTCTAAGTGGCAAAATATAGACAAAGAGAGAGAAATCGGCTCAATACAAGGAAAAAAGTCATACACTGATTTAGTAACAATATAATGGACTACTTTGAAATAAAAGAAAATGCTTCTTTACTAGATTTGAAAGGCAACTAAATATTCTTCTGTCAAGAATATCCTAAAAGATATTCAAGAAAACGAAAGAAAAATAGGAAAAAAGATCTCTAAAGTTCTTTTTCAACTCAAACTGATTTCCCGAAAAGGACAATTCCTTTACAGAATTTCAGTATGCCACAGTAAGAAAGACACAAGCCAAGGCACAAGACGGATGTGTGATTCCCCCACCCTATCATAATTATGATGATACAGTGACCAGGTCTGCAATGAAGTTTACTGTACATATGGCCTCAAGCTGAGGGAGAATAGAAATGAAAGATATATCTATGAAAACCAAATGGTAAAAACGTTAATGATCTCAATAACTGTTAAAAACAGAATTATGCATAATCATAAAACAGAATACCAGGAACAAATGCTATTATTCAAGTATGACAAAAATATGCAATTGAAAATAGTGTACCTTGGCCTCTTTATTGCTTCTACTGGTTTAGGGGCTTGAATGATGTGCTCCTGAAATTTGGGTTTCAATTCAGAGAGTTCTTTTTTCTCAGTAGTCTTGACTTCAGGTTTGACAGGCTCAGGTGGCTTTTCACTGTTATGTCTACCTTTTGTACAGCCCTGTTAGTGAAAGGTATTCATTGAGAGTATTCATCTATTTCACATAACATGACAAATACTATTTTTTAATTCTTTATTAATAAATCCTATTGTTTTCTTCACTTTTATCACACTGACTTAAGAAATGAAAAATAAGATTCCAAAGTTGTTACATTTGTAAATGAGTCATTATATATGAATAATGAATTTTTAAAGCCTCTGAATAATGCTTTATAAATATCTACTTAACTCTCTCTCAAACATAAAGCACAAAATTCTTTTTTTTTTTTTATCTTCACCTGAGGACATTTTTCCATTCTTTGTTCAGATAGAGTGGGGAGGGAGAGAGAGAGAGAGAAACATCGATGTGAAAGGGACACATCGAGTGGTTGCCACCCGCACAACCCAACCAGGGCCGGGGACAAACCGCAACCGAGGTACATGCCCTTAGCGGGAACTGAACCCGGGTCTCTCTGGACCGCAGGCCGACACTCTACCGCTGAGCCAAACTGGCCAGGGCAAGCACAAACTTCTTGTTTATAGGAAACAAATTCTAGAGACCTCACAAAGAGTATTCTACAAAGTTTTACAAAAATAAAAGGCTGCAATTTTATCCCTAGTTCTGCTACTAACTAGCTTATATGGCCTTGAACAAGGCAATTAATCCTTTTAACCTCAGTTTTCTCATCAGTAAATATGCAGGCACTCAAGATATTTTTTGAAGATTAAATAAAATAATAGAATACCTGACACACCTGGCAGGTGGCAAACATTGAATAAACGCTAGCTATCTTTGCCATATTCCATTGAGTCACACATATATTAACATCTCTGAAATCATAAGATTAATGACAGCTCATTTAATTAACAGCTTTAGTTTCCTAATTTTTTTTTTAATCCTCACCTGAGGACATTTTTTTGCATTTATCTTCAGATAGAGTGGAGAGAGAGAGGGAGGAAGAGAGAGAAACATCAATGTGAGAGAGACACATCGACTGGTTGCCACCCACACAACCCCAACTGGGCAGGGGACACAAAATGTAACCAAGGTACATGCCCTTGGCGGGAACCAAACCCAGACTCTCCGGTCCGTGGGCCAACGCTCTAACTGCTGAGCCAAACTGGCCAGGGCTAGTTTCCTTTCTAAAAAGTACACAAAATAATGGTACATTTCAATGGCATCTTCGATTTGATAAAAATGTATTGTTTCTAACTGAAAATGCATTCATTTGTTGCCTACCACCTTCCATCTTCTTGATGTTCTTGTAGGACTACTAACATCAAGCACAAACCAAAATTGACAGCTTGAAACAGATATGTTCCTATTTTAAAGTCTGTAGGAGGGAGGTGAGTTCTATTTTAAAAGAAAAGTACAATATGCAAATAAACAGCAACTGGTCTGAAATCAGACTCCTTAAATCTAGAGCTTCCCAGGACATGTATTCTTCAGTTGATAATCTAGGGGAGAAAAAAATGAATACTTACTACAATGCTTAAAAAATCAGAAAAATCAGTTGTTCTTCTCTTACAGCAAGACCAACCCTATGAAACAAAAGAGAAAACAAACTGGAAACTATATTTGCATGAGAACCACAACCCAGTAAAATACTCTGCTCGCACTTATCTTCTTGAATCCGAAAATGACTTTTATGTATATATTTCAGTTTTGAAGTGTTGTGAATAATTCATCTAATCAAGTGAAATGATTTTGTCTTTGATTTTAAAAAGCTGTTAGAAGTGATATGTGTTGTGTTCTATCATGAAAGAAAACATCTTTAAAAAAAGGAAACAAATTGGTTCTGTTTTTAAAACTAGTACTTGATTTTTAGGGAAAAAAATTTTATAATTTTTAAATATATATTTTAAAGGATCTGAGGAGTAAGTGAAGTGCTTTACTTTAAAAATCCAGTAATTCAGAGATAATAGTTATAATAATTTAGTTTGTAAATATTGTAGCTGTTTCTCATCAATAAACATCTACCTATTTTCAGCACAACACAGATGAATTAATGAAGCAGCCTAAGCATTGTTGTATCTTTGAAGGTTAAATGATCCTTTCAGTCAGAAGCATAAAAATATAGAAACTGTTATGTACTGTGTAATTTCTGAACAAAATATCATCTGGCTTATCAAAAAATGGCTTTAATTTTGATTCCACTGTGGTACAGAGCATAAAGAAATAAAAAGGCAGCACTCTCGAGACTTTGGAGATCTGAAATGCAGACTAAGGGCCAGCTTTGCATACACCCATCTGGGTCTCATTGTTTTCCCCAATATACTGCTTGACGAATTTGGCAGTAATTTTTTTCACAATATGCACTTAGAGGTTTTGTTTTGTTATTATTTTTAAAGAAAACTTGACACAAAATTTCCCTTATTCTGAAATGTAATTCTTTCTTTTACTCTAAACTGAGACATAGATGAAAAGTTACTACAACCTTAAATAGAGGGTTTAATTAGCATTAACAATATAGTCATCAAAGAAGTTATTCCATGCAAGAAAAGACTTTATTGTCTTAATTATATATGGAGAATTTTATCAGGTATTCTGGGGATGCTAGGATACATACATGATATAGACTAGTTGTTCCCAAATGCCAGTCTGGGATCATGGTAGTCCTCAGTAAAATGAGAAAAAAAGGAGGATAAATTTAAGCTTGTGAGCATAAGGCTGCTGTTGTTTCCTAAGGAGGCTTGTCTTTTTCTCTGCATATGCACTTTCTGATTTGAATATTAAAATGTTCTCTCTTTGTCAGTATAATGTTTAACTTCTTACTTGCTCAAATAGAAAACTGTCAACTGTAGACATTAAAATGACACACTTATTTTGTCTATACCAAGCTGTGAAATCCAATAGCCTTGGAAAGTCTAAGTCTTCAAGAAATGTTTATGGAGACAATAATAAATAGTAGGACTGGAGAAGAGAGAAATAAAATTACTTCAAAATAAAATTATTAAGATCAATTAATCAGATTAACAGTTGTGTAGTTAAAAAAAAAAAGTGATGGACTAAATGACTGGAAAGTTAGTAATGTTACTAGCAGCAGCAAAGTTGAGAGATAAGCTTTTTTGAGGGAATAATAGTCCACTTCAGAAACTGGTTTCGGTTGCCAATTACACATATAAATGGAAATATATTATAGAAGCCACAGAGGTAACATTACATTTAAGGATAGGAATAAATTAACAAAATGAGAGAAAATAGGAAGTCAAAGGCTGAGAAGCAAAGTATAACTATGGTTAAAAGATCAGAAGAAAATATTATTAGAAAAGAAAACCATACAATTAGGGAAAAACAACTCAGAATTGTAGTCCAGAAAAGATAAAACTCCTCTCACCCCTGGAAAAAAAAAATATCCTCACAGAATCAGTTTCCATTCTTTGTAACTTTGTAAACAGGCTACAAAAGATATGAGGAGGAGTCAGGTCTCAACTTGCCCTACTGAATATTCCATTTTCCTCACTTAAAACTAACCAGAATAACATAAACTTGGCATCTGCTTGTACATTTTTGTTTCTAGTAGCTATGTAACAGATAAATGTCAAAAAAGGTCCAATTACTCTCTGAAAAGTATACTTAGGAATTCAATATTTAAATAATCAATAAGACTGTTAATATTCCTAAGAACAAGTGGCAACACCTAAAGTCATGGCAGACATGCTGCAACATTTTCTCTTTAAGATATACAATGGAAAAAGTACCACATTATCATAAATTTTAAAAGGTCAATAAACTCACCAAGAAAAACCTAGTCAAACAACACTCTATTATTTCACTACTTCTCCAGGACATTAAAGTACAGATGGGAAACAGGAGAGATATCTCTTTCCTGTTTACTTTTACTCTAAACTTACGTCTGTCCTGAGATTGGCACCATTAATTGTTTACAACAATCTTTCCTAAAATTCAGAGCTGATCTTATTAGATAGCATCTTTCTGATAGACTGAGATTAGGATTCAAAACAACTGCTTTCTTTTTCCCACAAAACTAGGCAAGTGAAGAAATGAGGGGTATAGAAAATGGGTTGGGATAGAAATAACATAATTTTATAACTGGAAAAGACATGTTTCTGCAGTTAGTCAATTTCTTGATCAAATTACCCCAAAATGGTCATTAAAAAAACAGGGTCACAAAAGATGAGGAAAATGAAAATTTAGTATTACATTCTAAACTTACTATGCAAATAAAAAGAGGCTGAAATATATCAAGTTCCTACCTTTAATGCATCATGAAAGACTGGAACACCTGGGTGGTATGTGCAAGCATCTGGTCAAAACAGAGGGAAAAAAATACCACTTTATAATAAAGATAATCATTATTTCCATCAGTTATTAACATTTAATCTTCTTTCCAAATGTGGGTAGTACTTTTCCTTAAAAATTCAGTAACGCTCAAATATGATGCATAGCGCACAGTGCTTAACGTGACATTGATTTAAAATAGTAATAAAGTTGTAACTCAAAAGTATAACTATAGATAAAAATAATACAGACCACTTCAAGTATAACAAATTACATTCTGTATTCCTCTCATCTTTGTAGTTTGATTTGTTTAGTACCAAAACTTTAAGCTCCAAGATTTTGACTGTGATCTTTCAGTTCTGATTTACAAAAATGCTAACAAAATTAAGTGTTCTTATGTGTACTGGTCCATTAGATTACCCAAGAGAGTCCCTAAAAAGATGTTTTAAGAGAACAGGTTCAGAAGTTTAAAAACTGATGTAATATCTAGTTGCTAATTTAACTTTCTTAAACAGGTGTCAATTACTAGATATGAACCTCATTAAAAAGAAGTTCAAGTTCTACAGTCTATTTCACTGATTGTTATTCTATCATTTCCTTGTACCCTTCATCACACCACCAATTTTTACTTAAGTCTCTTATGAAAATGGACTTATTACAGTTTGCAATATGAAGTATTACTTTTTTTTTTATCCTCACCCGAGGACATTTTTCCATTTTTTGTTCAGGTAGAGTGGGAGGGAGAGAGAGGAAGAGAGAGAGAGAGAAACATCGATGCGAAAGGAACACATCGAGTGGCTGCCATCCACACAACCGACCAGGGCCCGGGACAAACTGCAACCGAGGTACGCGCCCTTAGCGGGAACCGAACCCGGGTCTCCCAGGACCGCAGGCCGACGCTCTAACCGCTGAGCCAAACCGGCCAGGGCTGAAGTATTACATTTAAAAAATTCAGATAATAGACACACTTATTCTCTAGTTTAGAGAACCATGAGCTTAGGAAAAACAGGTCAGCTCCACACCTGTGTACTTTTTTTTATAAGGCTGCTTTGTCAATATTCACATCTGCTTAGATTTCAATTATTGCAACCTCTGATTTCTGGTATTGCCTTAAAATGATTCAATACCAATATTTAAGCAAATCTCCCTATCCCAGCATTAACATTTAATACAGTTTCCTAACTTAGTAACTAGGTGTTACCTAGATACTATGCCAGCAAACTAAACAAGAAAGTTTCAAGTACTTTCACAGCACAATAAGCAAACCTATGGATTAGAAAGAAGCTATTAATTAAGGGTAGTAATAGAATTAAGGGATAAAATAAGAAGTTCAAAGTAGAAATGGATATGCAGAGGAACATGAAATTCAAAGGGGAATCAAAGTAGTGAACAGAGAGAGTATTTTTAAATACCAAATTTACAAAGAGTCAGGGCATAAAATGTATAATGCATAACACGGTAAGACGTATAATCATGACAATGGTCAGTTTTGGCAGAATGGCAGCAGCAGTGAGTCAGCTCTTAACCCCACAACTAGTATGAACAAAATTGGAAAATCATTGATTTCAAAAGAAAATAACAAAGAGATGAACAATGTCCTCTCTAGCCATTCTGTATCAGGTTTACCAGTTTTTCTCAAAGTAATAATTTATGGATAAGAAACTACAATATGGTAGTTGTTAAAAGGCAAGGGCTTTTAACACTGGCTCAAATTCTGGCTCTTCCTCTTGGAGTGGCTGTTTCAATTTCCTCACATATGTGAATTAAATACAATACTGTTTGTGAAGTGGTGCTTCTTCCAGAATAACTGTTTAACACATGCAAGTTACCAATCAGGTTTCCTTTAAACACTACTTTAGCTGTGTTTCAAACTGAAATATCCTATCAGCTTAGAAGGGAGTCATGTTATTTAGTCAATACATGTCAAACCTCGCTCATTATATAGAACTTTCTCCTAACCAAGCACAGTTTGCCCTTCGCTCGTCTTCTACTCTCTATCTCTATTTTCCTAACTTTCCATTCTATCAACCAACCTACTGGAGCATTTATTCTAAGTCTCTAAAATAACCCTCATTTTGCTAAGGCAAATAAACTTTCAGCACCTTAATTGGCACTCCCAGCTGAATTTGGTACTGTTGATCACACAGTCCTTGAGACTGGCAACTCCTCTGGCTTTCCTGCGCCTCACCCCCAATCTCTTTCCCAGTTACTGTACCATGTGACACACAGAGCTGACTTCCAAAAAATGGCTGTATCTCCTCTTAAGTTTAGACTCCTATATTACACCCTGTAAGTTAACATATTGTCCAGTACAACAAAGCATCAACCGTTCCCTTTTATTTAATAATAAACTAGAATAATTGCACACACTGAGGCAATTTACTTTTTTTGTTAAACCTCACCCGAGGATAGCGTTTTCCATTGATTTTTGGAGAGTGGAAGAGAGGGAGGGGAGGAGAGGGAGAGGAAAAGAGAGAGAGAGAGAGAGAGAAACATCAATGCATGGATGCAAGAGGACAGACACATTGCTTGGTTGCCTCCTGCACTCACAGAGAGGCCAGGGTCAAGCCTGTAACCCAGGTATGTGTCCTTGTCCAGGAATCAAACCAGCAACCCTTAGGTGCCCAGGTTGACATTCCAAGCACTGAGCCGCACCAGCCAGGTCAAGGCAGTTTACTTTTTACATAGGCTACCAAGAGCAAAGGGCTTTAAAACCCCTCACTCCTCGATTATGTCATCCACTCAAATCTCACAATTTTCCCCTTGAATAACTTCATAGAAACGTCAACAACAGCTTGAGTATTGTACAAAGACTGGATTTATCTTTTCCTTAGAATCCTGCCAATGGTCTTATTTTAAATGATGTCACCAATTCACCTGTGCACCAGGATAAATAGTTCAGACCTCTCAGAGGTGAAAACGATATTAAAAGACATACATTGTATCTCCTTCACAATATGGGACCGTGTTGCTACCATGTTGAACTCTGCTTCTCTAAATAGTGCTCACTTCACAGGGTTGTTGTGAAGGTCAACATGAGATACTATGGTAATGCCTCACGTCTGGCACCTAGAAAACATACACTAAGTACCAGCTGAATTTGAGAAAGCTTCAAGTTCCACAATTTTCCAAGAATCAACTCTGTATCCCATCCGCCAATCAAAATGCAAGTTTATCCACCAGTCTCTACTTTTTGTCTAGTCTAGTGATTTTCACTTTACACCCTTACAATCTTGGTGGTGTGGAGATAACTCAATCGCTTTTTCCACAAGAAGGCATGCTCTTAAAACAAGACGGCCACAGCACAAATACAGCCGTACCACCCACCGGCGCGGGTGTATCAGAACTTGACAGCGTCCAGTTACAGAATACTCTTCCTAACCAAGTGCAAGTTCTAAGAAAGTAAGTTTGTAACAGTGAGTCTACCCCAGGCGCGCACAGCCGGCTTTCAGACCAGTCAACTTCCATGCGAATCAAACGAGGCCGAACTTAAACTCGAGGGTGATCTGCCCACTGCCCACTGCCCACTCCTCGCGTCTCCGCACGTCTGTGTATCACACACTCACACACACACACAGCCATTCACTGGCACGCACACACACTCATCCGCACACACGAAATCACTGCAAATCAAGGCTGAGACCAGGCACCTGGCGCACTGCCTCCCCGCACAGACCGGGTGGAGGTGAAGAGGTTCCAGACCCCCCCACCCCCCCGCAACATCCCCGCGAGTCCCAGGGAGCGGGTGGCCGGGAAACACGTGGGGCCGTGGGGAGAGCCGCTCCGTGGTCCGGCGGGGGACAGAGGGGCAGATGCCGTTGCCCGGGCGCCCCCGCGGAGCCCGCCACCTTGGGGGCGCTGCGGGCGGGCCCCTGACCCGGGCGGGCCCCTGACCCGGGCGGCGCGCGGACGGCTCGCGGGAGGGCGCGGGCCACCGAGGGCCCACGGGCGCGCCCCGGGATGCGGGGAGCGGGCAGGGCAGGCTGGCGGCGTCTCTCACCATCGGAATTGCTCTCGGGATCGAAGCGCTGGCCGCAGCCCCGGTTGTAGCACAGCAGGGCCATTTCTCTTCCGGGCGACACGAGTCAGGCCCAAACAGGGGACCGCAAGCCGTGCGATCTCAGCTCGTCCTGGCAGCCACCGGTCTGTCGGCTGGGCGGCAGCCGGCTTCCGGAAACGGCCGCTTTCACGTCAGGAACCTTCGCGAATTTTCCGGTCGCGCAGACGCAGGAGACGCCAGGGGTGGAGGGAGAGGCGGGGGCGGGGCGCCGCGGGTCAGAGGTCCGGGGGTTCAGGCGTGGGCGCGGCAGGTAAGAAGGAGGAGCCCAGACAATTGTCGGAGAAACCTTGACGCCGAGAGCGCCAGGCCACCGAGGGAGGGAACTGCGCTCTCCAGGTTTTTGCAGGTCCGGACGGGCGGTGCCGTGTCCCGCAGACACTGCCCTCTTCCCTTCCAGATCGCGATCACACAGCGGGTGGAGCCTTTTCCCGGGAAAAGCTCGGAGAAGCTGCAGAACCGGCTCACCGGAGCGTGGTTGCTCAGTGCTCCATGGGGGCGGGGGAGGGGATGTCTTCCTGTGTGTGTCCGTTGTCTGGGCTCTGAACGCCGAAGAAAAGGCAGCACTGGCGGCGATTTCAGTAACTGAGTAATTGGGGCCAAATCACTGTGACAATGCAAAGCCCTTAGAGGTCAGACTATAGGAAACTAGGGATCTTATATAGTGCCGGAGATGGTCGCTGTTGCTCGAAGACCTGGGGGTAATTGTTGCTATTTCATGTTAGTCTCCACTCAATTCGTTTGTCAATACTTAATTCTCCAACCCCGGGACCTCTAGTAAGGTTTCATCAAGTGCATTGTCAAGAGTATGGTAATACACTGAGAGGCACACGCAAACGACACTAGCTCCGACCTGCATACTTCCCAAACTTGGGGTATTTGAAAATAAAAGCAAACTCTCCTGGATAACATGTATACTTGAACAGTCTTAAAATAGTCCTATCAGTAGTTTTTCGGTAGAAGTAGACAGCTATATACCATGTTTTTAGTGATCCCAAGTCTCTCAATGATTGGCCCACAATCCTCCCACCCCAATAAAAAAGACTTCATTTTTCCATATTTCTCTCTACTTTACATTTTAAAATATTCATTTTTGTAGTAATTCCAACATAGATGTATATAATGTTGTATTCTTTATTTAACCTGAGTATTTTTCTATTTTGTTTCATAATCATCATTATGAACTAAGTAGTACTCTGTTGAATGACTGCACTATATAACTGTTCTTCCTTTAATCTCGCCAACTTTATTGAGCATAAACTTCAAAAATCAACTTACTGTTTGTTGTTTTTTTTATTTCTGATTACCCCTCAGGATAATTATTGCGAAGTACAGTACTGGACATAAGCCTTTTAAAATAATTTAAAGATTTTAAAGGTATATATTTCCAAAAGGTGATACCTTTATCTTGCGGGATTAGAAATGGAGAAGCTTAGACAGTTTTGATTGTAGCCAAATCCATTGTCTGAGTATCCTAGCATCACTGTAACATTATTGAGATTATTAGCAAATGGTTTAAATATTTATTGTCATTTTTTAACTATAGCTTTTTAAAGTCAGAAAATTATAAATGCTTATAAAAGATAATTTGAAAATGCAGAATTATATTAAGAACAAAATCCACAATGATTCCACCACTCAGCAGTAAATACTAAATCACTAAAATTATTCTTTGATACATTTATTTCGAGTATTTTGTTTGTTTGTTTGTTTGCTTTCTTTTTTCTCCCTAGGCATTTATTGGATGCCCAGGTACCAGGAATACAGGAACTGTGGTGGTAATATACACTGTTTATATAGCCTTTAATTCCAGCTCCTGACTCCCCTCACCCACAACACCTGTATAGTATATGTACTGTTACATAGTATCTTGATATTGTTCCCATGTTATAAAAGCAGTGCTATAGAGTAGTTAAGAGTAGAGTTTTGGAGTCAAACCAGGATTCAAATCCTAGCTCTACAATATACAATTAAAATACTTAAATCTAATAATTTCAGAACATCTTTCTGGGCTTCAATGATCTCTTCCATGAAATGTAAATAATTTATGTAATCGTTGCTAGTCTTTTTTTTTTATCCTCACCTGAGGACACTTTTCCATTTTTTGTACAGATAGAGTGGGAGGGAGAGAGAAGAAGAGTGAGAGAGAGGGAAACATCGATGTGAAAGGGACACATCGAGTGGCTGCCACCCGCACGACCAACCAGGGCCGGGGACAAACTGCAACCGAGGTACGTGCCCCTAGCGGGAACCGAACCCGGGTCTCTCCGGACCGCAGGTGGACGCTCTAACTGCTGAGCCAAACCGGCCAGGGCTCCTTGCTAGTCTTAAATACATGCAGAAATAACTGTAAAGCACTTAGTACGGTTGCTTGCCCATGGTAGGAGCTCAGTAAATGAAAACTATTCTTTATTTGAAATGTTCTAGGGAAATAGTATGACTGAATGATATTCAGTCCTATTGCCACAAATACCAATATTTTCTTAGAAAACAATAGGTGATTCTCTGTTGCCATTGAAGTGGTTTCCAATATTTTTCTTTTATAAATAATAATATCACAAAAACATCAAGGACTATGTACAAAAATGTTCAGAGTAGCATTATTTAGTAAAAGATGAAAACTGGGAATAATCCAAATTATTAATGAACTATGAAAAGGTGTGGTATATCTATACACTGTGATAGATACGATACAAAAATGGGAATGAATGAACTACAAATACAAAAAAAATGAATGAATTTCACAAACATAATGTTGAATGAAAAAAGCCAAAGGGAAAAAAAAATACATGCATTGTAACCATTTACATAAATTTCAGAAGCAGGGATAAATAAGCTATTATGTTTAAGAAAGAATCCTAACATGATAAAGCCATATGGAAAAAGTAAGAAGTCATCATAAATGCCAGGACAATGCTTACTTTTAGGAAGGTTGAAGGAAAGGCAAATGTTTCTGAGGTGCTGGCATATTTTGTTTATTTATGTGGCGGATGTTCATTTACAGTGATTCATAAAGCAATGCATTTATTATAGGTACTTTTCTGTCTTATTTTTGCCATATCACAGGAATTTGAGGTCTAGATACTTAAGTATTTAAAATCTACAATGGGAACATAGCTTTTAAATATTATAGCATAAATTTTTTATACAGAGGATTAGCTCAAATAATCAAATTAGATGCAGATTGGTTGAGTACAAAAATAACTTGAAACTCTAAATTATTTATAGTGAAGGGCATTTGGAAGCTGAATGGAAGTAGGTAATCAACCAGTAAACTAAGAAAAAATAAAAACACATGTCAACATACCATCATCTACCTATTGTCTCAAGCCAGATGAATGGCATAGCCAGTCATGAGCAGTCAACTTGTCAACTTTCATTTTTCTTCCTGATCAGTTGTGAGTCTTGAGTCCCATGCAGGATTACTTACAGACCTGACCTGGCTTCCTATCTACAACAGGAAGTCCGCTTTCAGGACTTAAAAAGTAATCTTATTTATTTTTATTAGTCATGCCACACTGAACATATATATTTACCTCCATTTTTTTCTCAGATCCCACTAAAATTGTGGTGAAGAAAAAAAAATACATAAAAACCTCCACAAAAACAAGGAAATTTGAGTAGAATATTGCAATAGACAAATTGTATTGGCAAGTTTTGTTTTAATTTTGTCTTCATTTTGGTGTTAGGAGCATTTGCATTTTGTTCAAGTGGTTTCCTATATACTGATGCCTTTATATAATTACCTCTTTTTCTTACTTCGGCTTTCCTACTCAGTTTATCAGTTTTAACTGACTTCGACTTTTGTTTCCTATTAACCAGCTATTTTCAATCTTTTTTATTTCATGGCACACATAAACTATTACAATTATGTGGCACACCAAAAAATATATATTTCTGGCCAATCTGACAAAAATAATATGTATAATTTAATTAACTTATACCAGACGGCTACTGTTGTGTTGGCTGTTGTCTTTTTTTTAAATTTGACAATCTAAGGGAAAAGAGGTCACTGCCCTTGACTAAATAGTCAGGTATTGCATGTTTTAAAAATTCTTGAAGCATACCAGTGTGCTCTTTCAGTACACTGGTTGAAAATAGCTACTGTAAACAGTTTATGAGATTATTTCCTTCCTTTTCCTCCCACTTGTTTTTTCTACTTTGTCAGAGAATGTAACATTTACATATTAGTCTTCTACCCTGATACCTAGCTTTATTATTTATTTATTATTTAAATAAATGTATTATATATATTATATATTAATATATAAATGCATATTCATCAAATAGATATATTTATTTACTTACCAAAAATATGTTTAAAATATATTCATTGTTTACCACTACTTTTGTGGCTGAAGTTTCCTCCTTCTTGTGCTCAGATGAAGTTGATCTTCTAGTAGCAGCATCAGGAATAGCTTATGAAAACAATAGTCTCTGAATTCTAACATGTTTAAAATAACTTCTATAGACCCACAGCTTAAGGGAGGGATTAGTAGATATACAATCCTTTGTTTATACTTGTTTTCTAAACATTTTTTAAAATATTGCTTCAATTCTGATTTCTGTATTTTTTTTTTTTTGTAAATACTGGACATCTGACATTGTGTTGAATGCCATTATAAATTTAATGAAAAAGTTCTACATTGAAAAGAAAATTGTTTGTATTGTAATGATGTGAATACTAGTTTGATTTGATCACAACCTCATGGCACAAACAATCTTCTCAACAAATAAAGAAATTTATGAAGCAAAAATATACTTGGGATTAGTGGGGGTGGTGCATGTATAATTTTGTTTCCTTAAGCTGTGATGGTATATCAATTAAAATAGAACTTGAATTGTGAAAATTTTCAAATATTTTTTACATAGAATAACTGAACTGAATTTGAGGAGGAAAGTCTATGTTGAGTGAAAAACAAAATTAGGGGGAAAAAAAGAAAGAAAGTAAAACCTCATCATGGCAGCACATGTTTTCTTTTTGCTTCCCTCCATCAATCAAACTTTTAGAAATGTCCTGAACTTATTTCACTACTCTGTAAATCAACATAAAAGTCCTAAAAATAGTACTGCATATTTTGTAAACGATTCT